TATTTTAAAGATACGTCAGTGTTATTTGACAATGCCTAAGAGATGAACACGCAGAAGTAGGGCGAAGAAACAAGAGTAAAGAGGAAGCACACCGTCTTTATTACCTGCCACATTACGTAGTAACGCGAGAACCCTGTCTCGCAACTAAAGTGCGCATTGTTTTCGACGCTTCCTCTCACCGGAAAGATCAAGACGGCTTCAATGCACACATGAAGACTGGACCAAACTTGGCAGACAAGATTGTGCGAGTCTTGCACCGATTCAGAGCAAACGATGTAGCAATTATAGTTGAAATAAAAACGAGCCTTTTTGCAAATATCAGTTAGACAGCAAGACCACGATGCACTACAATTTTGATGGTCTCACGAAACTTCACATCCCACGGGCCCACTGCCGCCCATCGAGGTGTGGAAAATGACGAGGGTGCCATTTGGAGCCACTTCAAGCCCCTTCCCACTCACAGCCATTCTATCTCAGGACTTCCACAAAACACCAAGACACAGCGGCCTCTCTAGAGAAGTCATTTTACGTAGACGACCCGCTTAGGGGAGCGTCGACTATCGGAGAGGCTATACAGTTATATATCGAAGCATGTTCCATCATGCAGTAAGCGGTGATGAAACTGAAGAAATGGACATCTAACTGAAAGGCACTACAAAGCGTCTTTGATCGAAATGGTGAAGAACAAACAAATAAACGACATGCACGCAGGTTTACGGAATAATCTGAGACAGCACGGAAGTCGTTTTTAAATTTTCGCTATATTCGATATTGAAGATTATGAAATTCAAAGTGAACTCTAAGCGCTATCCTCTGCAGGCATCAACCCTGATTTTGATTGTATAGGCCTACTCCCGCCTTTTATGATTCGAGTCAAGATATTATTCCAGGCAATGTAGAAAGAAAAAAATAGGCTAGGACGAGACCCTAACCACGAAGGTGGTTAGCGACAAGAACCTCAACTACCAGATTCATGTATTTCCTGATGCGAGGCCACAGGCTTATGGTGCAGCCACACATGTCCGCGCGTGTACGTCGGACGCTACCGAAAAAGTAGAGACGCACCTTCTACTATAGCAAAAACCGACAAGACGACTAACTCTACCTCGCTTATAGTTGATGGGTGCTCATGTCGGCAGCCGACTACTGCAGTATGTCATCAAAATATTCGAAGACAAGGACCTACTATTTGTGGTAACATTGTACGATTACATTGATGTGAATTCGAGGATCAGCCATTAGATGGAACGCGCTCGTCGCCAACGGAATCGTAGAAATGGAAAACAATGCTGACGAGTCACGGTGGAACTTCTGTCCTGGAAAAAAGAATTCAACCGACCTACTTGCCAGAGGCATTTCAGTTGCAGATCTTTAGGAGAATCATCCGTGGTGGAAACGTCCTGACTGGCTCACAAAAAAGCCATTCAAATTGTCCACATAAGAAGGAGGAACGTGATGCTAAGAAATATTCTGAACTTGAACAAAATATGAGTACACTTTTAATATCAACCTTTGCACCTACAGTATAACCTGTTCTAAACTTGACACGTTACAGTAAACTCTGCAATCTTAGGGGTTACACCATAGACCTTTCGTTTCGCGAATAGCTGCAAAAGAGACCACCGTGTCCTATCCAGCACTTCGTTATTAGCTGAAGTTCTTTCTTCAAGCGGAACGTTATTGGATGAAAATCGTGCAAGAGAGGTTTTTGGGTGATATTCAGGCAATGCATAAAATCGTGCTGTCAATAAGGGATCCAAATTGACGAATCTTGGAACGTACCTGGATGAAGCTGGAATATTGCGAGTTGGAATTCAGTTGCCAGACCTCAATTCAAGCGATGCCATTACGTATACAATTATTTTGCCCAAACGACTACAGAATTACAAGGTAGTTGTGCTCACTGTGCATCAACGACTACTTCACGCTGGAGTTGATTCTGGATTATACGAGGACCACAACCGGTAAAGAAGGACTGCATAGTTTCCCCACGTTCAAAATGTTTAGATTGAAATCGACTTTCACACTCTCAGCTCCATTGCCGAAGAATCGCATCGAGCAAGTCAGTCTCTGCGAGGTAACTGGAATAGATTTTGCAGGCTCATCGTACACAAAAGGCGAGAAGACAAAAAAGTTTACATAACTGTTGTGAATTAACCCGAGTAAATCGGGCGTAGGAAAAGAAAGACCAGCATCGTTCCAAGCGTCCGACGAACAAATCTGAAAATACGTCAACATGAGGAGAGGGATGATGAAAAAATGTATCATTCTTAGTAATGGTGACAATGGACGATTTGCAATTTTCCCAAGCGCCCCGGCCCGCGCGCAAGGAATTGTGGGAGAAACTATCCCTCGCGTGGCCGCTCTGCCTTGAGATCGCATTGCCTTGTCTCCTCTTAATCCTCTGTTTCTTCTTATTCTATTACCTATTTTTATCTATTCCAGTGTATTCTTTATTGCTTCTAAGTGTTTCTATTCTCTTCGGCGCGCGATATTTCTTGTATATATATATATAGTATTTGTGTCTTTATTTTGCCTTTTTCGACGGGAGTGCCAACGGACAACACGCCGCTTCGCGCGTCGTACCTCGGGTGAGTACTACCGTTGCTACCGATTCCTATCGCGCTGTTAGCTGTTCATTTTAGTTCATTTGACCCGCTTGCAGTCAAGAGGAGCCGTTTATGAAAACCCGCACACATGTCATAGGGGTCAGCGGAGTTGCGAATCAACAATCGCGACGCGAGAGCCGAGTGCACTGTGATTTGGCCGCGCGCGCTGGCTCCGTTGACTCGCACTGCAGCGCATGCCTTTGAGTTCCGCTTACTTGACCAAGATTGCACTAAGAAGCAATAAAAAGTGCACTGGAATAGATAAAAATAGGTAATCGAATCGAAAAAAACAGAGGATTAAGAGGAGACAAGCGACAAGGTAGTGCGATTTCAAGGCAGAGCGGCCAGGCGAGGGACAGTCTCTCCCACAATTCCTCGCGCGCGGGCCGGGGCGCTCGGGGGATTTTGCAAAAGGTCTATTGCGCTAGAGTAGATGGGTAAAATATATATGAACATCTAAAAACACAACCCGGCAAATGAAAGTTCAATAATGACGACAAATCACTACTAGACGACCGCAAACCACTTAGTGCAAGAAAAAAAAAAAAGAAACATCACGAGTAATTTTTATTTTCGTCAAGTTGCGTGAAGAAAGTTCTTTAAGAATGTTTTCATAGTTAAAAAGAAAAAAAAAAACAAATATCGAAATATTTGTTCTAAACAATGCGTATAAAGTGTCTCTGAACTTTTTCGATTCGCTGGGCCTAATATATGAGCATTAGTTTTTAATGGTATTTCACTAGTACCATATAGTAGTAAGCAACACCATAAAAAAATGAGGAAAATAATATTTTTTTTAGAGGTAATTAAGTTGCTATCATCGTAAAATTCATGGTACCTGTTGATGGCACTTTTCTACACAATTAGAGCGTACAGTACTAAATAATGTTTTCTGAATTTTGAAGGAAATTAATCACTTGAGAAATTTTACCAATGCAAAACAAAACGTACGCAAAGAATGCTCAACGTTGGATTTGATCCGGTTACCGAAGTATGTGTCGAAAATAAGAAAAAAAAAGAGGATTACATACTATACTTGTAAAGACACTAATGAAAGTAATGCCTGTTTTTAAGGCAAAGTTAAATTTCTTTTACTGTGGAATATAATCCACCAGCCTAGCCAATATTTCTCGATTTTTTATTGCATATGAATATCTCTGTTAACCAGTGCAAAAACGACCACTTAGTATTGGTGGTTTTACCGCATCGTTTCAGCATTATTTCTTGGTGTCGGAAGAACAGTACCAAGATTAACATAGTGTAGGGGTAACAGCGCCTAACAACGAAAACTAATGGTATATTCGGCTGGTCGTTTTTAAGCGCCCCAACACTCTGAATTGGATCTGGGAGATACGGGACCGCCTCCAAATCCGAGCTAGAGGAACAGCGTGCCAGCCGAATGCTCGGCCACTTTTCTAAACGGCCCGAGCGCTGACACGGAACCGGATACCGAGGACAATTTCCGCGACCGCACCACTGCCATGGCGCAAGCTACCGCCCGATACGAAGGGTTTAGCCAATACCATTTATCCATGCAGCGGCACCGCCGCATGACCGCTTGCCCGCACAAAAAAATGGCAGCCTTCAATGCGGACAATAGCTCTCGCTGCGGTCCAGTCCCCCGTCGAGCACCTCCTGAACTCACTGCACAGCACAGCGGGATCTGTGCGGAATCCAAAGGCGGTGGCGCCTCTCGGCCGTGCATCTTTCTCTTTCAATTCAACGGCGGAAGTGGCTGGAATCACGTGACCGGTCCTCTGGCACGCGCTCCCACCGCTGCCACTTCGAAGTCAGAGTGCCCCACAGCGCTACGAGTCAGAAGACGGCGCGATCCAAAAATCTGAGAGCGCCATGAAAGAACCAGGCGATTATACTTAGAGCGCCCGACTTTGACTGCTGAATGGGCACCGACTTTTCAGAGTACTCCAAGAAGCTGGAAATGGACCAGCCGAATATACCATCAGAGAAGGAACACACATCACAGGACGGGCGTCAACTCGCAACTAAATGTTTAATAGTGAAAACAGGAACCAGGAAAACATAAAAGGCACACTCAACCACGCATGCGCCACCCAGACTGTCTTGTCACAAAAAGGCTTCATCAATCAGCGCATAACAACCCCCCCCCCCCCCCCCTCCTCCATTCATAGTCAAAAAAGCTTTTCTTTTCCCGATAGCGCCACCGATGGGTTGCTGACACAATGCACTCCGTAATTAACAATCTAGAAGGCCTCTGTCACCAAGATGCTGACACAATCAGGCGGACCTCATTGCAGTCGGTGTCTTCTCCGATCGCGTCCATCTTTGGGGCTGCCGTCAGTGCAACGACATGACCCCGCTCCTATGAACGCTTAAACTTTATATTATCGCAAATATTAAAACGTGTCTTACCGAAGTAGGCGTCTTTTTTTATGCCGGGCGCACCCTTCAGCGTGCGTGGGTCTTGCGTCGTAACTGCCGTGGAGAGAAGCAAATAGTAAAATCAGCGTCTAGGTCATGGTAGTTCCCTACACTCAGTAGGTGTGACTGGACTACCATAGCGCAGCTGCACATCTTACTTCAGGCTAATGCAAAGGTGGTCACCAGCCTTGTTTTAGCCTGACAAAACAGCCACATTTATAGCTGCGCACGATACCAGCAGGCTTGAACAAATATGAATGACAAAATGCACAACGCCAGATAACCGCTTCGTATATAGTGTCAAAAACTAAAAATAACTCGGAATCTTAGTTTACAACCGCACATGCTAGAACTAAATGATACGTGCATATGGTTCACCACTTAAGAAGATGTATAAGTATACTAGGGCAGACTTTGATGCTATCAATATTGAGCTGTGTCTTTTTTTATGACTACACGAGTTTCTTTGCAGAGTGCTCAATTGGTGTTAATTAAAGTTTAATAAAAAAAATCATCATAATGGCACATTTACCCCTTTGCACTGTTCAGTCATCAAATTAATTGCCATGGTTTAGCGTGCCCCTAAAAAGGCTTTAATATAAAAAGGTTTTGCACCGCTAAGCTGCCCCGCAAAGAGTCGCCTAGCTGGGCAACCTACCATCTTGCTACCAGTGTATGCAACTAAAACATTAGAAGAGGCAAAACTTACTTTTTTTAATACTTCGTTAACATTTATGTTATGAAACAATTTCTGGCAATTTTAGACAATTATAATTTCTACCGCAGATTCCCGTGTAACGCTGAGGGACAATGACGAAGTTGATATGCCCAGCGAACTCTGTTCTTCTATTTTATGTAAAGTGTATTAGATCCCTTTCATGTCCTGTTATTATTCACTATTCAGTGCTTCTTCTATATGATTTTTGCCAAGATATTGTCACGGGTGGTGACCAAAAGAACAATAAATATACAGGAATAAATAAACGTTGAATGCGGCGAACTTGTGCCCGAAAAGAAGGGAACAGACGATAACAATAGAGCGTCGCAGGCGACGATGGCGGCGTAACAGCAGGATCGAACGCGGGGGCGAGACTGAATCTGCTCGCCTTGCGGAGTCCCTTATGTACCCTCGTGGGTTTCTGGATCATTCGGCGTAGAACATTCGGTGCGTAGAACATTCGGAACTCGATCAGACGAGAATGTTCTCGAGCTTACGAGAAGGCCAAGTTGAAATAATAAATAAAAAGCCAGTCCGCTGACTGGAATCGAACCTACACCTTCCGCGCGAAAGTCAAACGCGGTAACCACTCGTCTTTTTTTCTTTTTTTCGGTAACCACTCGGCCACGCACGCGCTTGCTCGCCGACGCGCGTGGCAATATCCTGTTGTTTTAGAATGCGAAGGTATTGCTAAGATAATCTAATACCTTAAACTGCCTTGCGCAGCAGCCACCGGTAACATTAATGGTAAGTTGTTTTGTTAAACACTAAGTTGTATTCGCATATTACACTATCCCAGCTGTTATGCCAATCGCTTGAACAAAAACTATTGCCAAGAGACTGGAAAGGGGAGAAGTGATTCCTCTTCACGAAAGTGGCGACCAGCATAAATTCCGGCCAATTTTCGTCCCATTTACTTAGCAAGCATTCCATGTGAAATTCTTGAACATGTAATTTATTCTCATCTTGTTAACTTTCTTGACTCCAACTTTTTTTTCTAAACCCAGCGTAACACGGTTTCCGGAAATTTTATACATGTGAACCTCAACCTCTAACATTTACGAATGTCCTTCACGTCGTTCTCAACCGGGGCTTTATAACTGACTGCATATTGCCGCGCGCGTAGGTGGCCGTGACCTAACGGTTCCTTACGTGCCCTAACATTCTAACCTTCTAAAAAGCTAACTTGTCCTAATATTCTATTGGCGAACCTTCTACGCCGATTGTTTCAGAAGCCCACGCGTGTACAAAAGGGGCTCCACGTGGCAAGCCGCATGCAGTCAGTCTCACCTTAGCGCTCGATCCTGCTGTTTCGCCGACATCGACGCCTGCGACGCTAGCCTTTCCCTATTTTGTTTTGGGCACAACTTCGCCCCATTAAACGTTTAGTTTCTTCAGTTATTCGCAGCCTCATCATTTGTCCTTCGTGACATTTTGGTGGAGGTGCGGGTGCGTCGCGCGCAGGAATCGAATCCTCGCTCTTCGCGTGGGAGGCAAGCCCGATAACCGTTAGGCTACGGCCTATCTGCCTATACTTGGCCACCTACGCGCACGACATTATTTATTGATTTTTCAAAAGCTTTTGACAAGGTTTCTCGCAAGTTTCTGCCTTATAAATTTTGTAACCTTAACATTGACTTCAAAATACACTCTTGAAACGGAAATGAGATGAGCTAGTTGGTTATAGATTTCCGGTGGAACCAGGTGAACATGAAAAGTGAGGAAGCAAATAAAAAAGACAACCGTTCGCTGGACTACCAACTATTTTATTGAATCCTCCTCTTTTTGAATCCTCCCCTTTCTCAACGCTAGAAGAAGAGGAGGTGGTAGGGTGACCACCCGTCCCGCGACTCGCGGGACTGTCCCGCATTGACGGCTTGTGTCCCGCGTCCCGCATTTATACTGAAAATGTTCAAAATGTCCCGCACTTCATCCTGTCGTAAAATTCGCAATTTATCTCATGGCGCTGCAGAACAAAGGGGCGCGGGGAAGCGTGGAGGCCGCTCGTATGGTACGCTATTTACTATCCTAGTATTGCGGGAAGCGACCGTCATTCTCGCAAGAGATCGACGCGCATGTGCCGTTGTTTCCCCGGTGGAAAAGTACTGCGAGAGAAAATCGCTGGCCAAAATATGAAATATAAATTATTGTAATTATTTTCAAATCAAACTGTGTCAATGAGAAAGGGTTGATGTGAAATGTTTTTTTTAGTGGAGAGTTAGCGCCTGTCCTGTCGTCTTTGTGTCTTTATTGTCCTCGTTTTGTTCGCGCTCTTAACCTTTTATTTCAGTATGAACAAACTCGCCCAAACCCAAGTTTTAATAAAGACACAGGGTTCTAAATTTGAGTAAGAGTATGTTGATAAAAGTATACACAAACTCAGCTTTCTTACGTCACGGCGCGGTGGTGGCGCGTCGGGCTTACTTCCGGTTCGGGGCTGTGGGCGGAAATCATCATGCGAGGCGTGTATTCCTGCTTTGCTTTTGAAGAAACCAAACAAAAACCTGCCTTCTCGTCAAAACACCGCGACTAGGACTGTGCCAAAAGAGTTGGGAAAGCTTTGAAGGTCAGTCTTCATGTGTTTTCTGCCTGCTCGGTGCGTCCGAGAACGTGGATAGGGCCTTGAAAAAGGAAACCAGACGCCGTCGGACCACAATTGTTTGTGCGGGAAGCACTTTGGGTTGAATTCACAGATACTTGCGGCCGTCAGATTTATTTTGTTTTGTTCCAACATGAACGCGGGAAAACCGCAAAGTTGTATGGACCACCTGCGGACTACGTCCAGTGCGTCTTCAGTTTGAACGGCCGCCTGATCGTTCAAACTGTCGTCTGCTCTCAAGCGTTTCTGCTTGTTGTAGTCTGCTTGTTCAAACGACAGCGGCCCGTAGACCAGACGTTGTTGTGAAAACGGAAAATCCCCGGACCAGACCCTCCCTATCTAATCCGTCCGGCAACGGTGAACTCAATGAGTACCATCATCACATGGCTCCGGTCGGCTTGCTCGGAAACGAGGCGAGAGGCGACAAGGGGGTGCCGTGGGACCACCGTGTTGGCGTCGCCCCACCTAGGCGCGGAGCTAAGCCGGACCCTTCTTTCTGGCTGCGTTAACGCTGGTCTGAAACGGGGTCAGCCGACTCAAGAACCGGGAGGATTACCGGGCCAGGATTCCGCGTAACGACGCGCCAGCTGCGGGACCTCCGTGAGGGTGGGATTATCCCCGGACGCCACCTGCGGATGATCCGGCCAAGCCCTTTCCCGTGCCTCAACGCCGTCTGATGGAGGGGTCAGCACTACCACGGCCAACGTCGTCACCCGGGCAAACACTGGACCCCTTGCTGTCGCCTCCTCGGCGCAGCTTTCGAGGGCAAGGGTGCCTCGGCGCCGGAGTGCAAAGTCCGGCAACAGCTGCAGTATGTGCATGTGGGTGTGTGCGTGCTCAGGGGATGAGTGGAGGCGGGGCCTGAACATGATTTGTTGGCAGCTCGGCCACCATTGGCTGCCAGCCGCGAGAGTACCGAAGAGCGACCCTATAAAGGGGGCAAACAGAATATCGCATCTGTGCTCTCGGACGTTGTAAATACTTTGTACATATGTATTAAACAAAGTTTCGTTGCGAGAGACCCTCCCGTCTCGTCATGTTCCTGGACGGGAGTCTGCCCGCTGCTCCTTTCCTGGCCTGGCCCTGCGTGACGCTACCCGGAGAACCCCCTCGGTCCCAACAACTGGATGGCAGCGGTGGGATCGACTTCGCCGGACCAGGACTTCTTGTGTGGGTGAGTGCCCGGCCCTCTCTTTCTCAATCTGCCAGACCCATTAGCTCTAAGTTTTGCCTGTGGGGGTTGGAGATAATCGTTGTTAGAAGGACTGTGTGACCGTTCTGACGCGAGAATTTTGTGAGAAAGAGAGCCAACACAAGCTAGATCATGAATCTCGAGGCATTCCGTTAGCACGAGTTAGTGCAGGTTTGTACCGAATTGGGAATCGATTTAGGGCAGACCAAACGCAAACCGCATATTATAAAACTCCTTCAGGCCGAAGACGTCAGCATTGAAGAGTTCACGGAGGCTCTGGAGGAAGTTCGCGAAAGGGAGCGGGAGGAACGCAGAAAGCGGGCCGACGAGGAGGCTCGCGAGAGGGCTAGAAAAGAACTCGAGTGGGCTCTCGAGTGTAAGAGATGGGAACTCGAGAAACGCGAGTACAAGCGCGAAATGGAGAGGCTCGACTACGAGTTCGAGCAGCTCGAGCTCGCGAAGAAAGCGCGGGAGTTGGAGGCTCTTTCTCGGGCTGCAACAGGCGTTGAAGGGGTGACACGAAAGGCGTGTCAGGGAAAGGAGAA